GCATGGTGTGGAGGAGGTTACTGAAAGCGGTGGGTTTTTACGGGATAGTGAGGCTCAAGTTAGAGTATGTAAAAAAGGGGGAAATTTTTTTTTCCCAGTAAAAGTAGCTTAGACAAGGTATGTGATGTCCCATGGTTTGTTTAATATTTATGAGGGGGGTTGAAAGAGAAAAAAAATTTGAAAGGGGTCTTGGCAAGAGGCATGGAGTTAAAAGATAAAGAATCACAATAAAGGGGGATTTGTCCATTTCCCTTTTTTGCTGATGACACTGTGCTCTTGGGGGGATTCTGAAGAGAAGTTGCAGGATTGGTGGATAAATTTGGTGGGGTGCAAAAGAAGAAAATTTAAAAGTGAATACAAAAGATAATTTTGGAGGAAAACAAAAAGATTAGGTAATAAAAGATTGGATATCAGATTGGAGGAGAGATATGATGAGGTAATGTATTAGATATTTGGAGGGGACATGTCAGTGGATGGGTCAAAAAGGGATTTGAATCTAGAATTGTGAGGGGGAAAAGGGGTGAGTGGTGCATTAGGAATCTGTGGAGCAAAGAACTTTGTCCTTGGGGGCAAAGAGGGGAATGCATGAGAGTTTAAATTTTACCAACGCTTTATATGGGTGTGAAGCATGGGTGGGTGAATGTTGTTTGCGAGGAAAGGCTGGGGCATTGGAGATGTCATGTCTGAGGGCAATGTGTGGTGGAAATAATGCAGAGAATTTTTTTTGGAAGTTAGGAGGGGGTGCGGGATTACCAAAAACTGTTTTCCAGAGGGCTGAGGAAGGGGTTTTTGAGGGGGTTGGGCATGTAAGAGAATGGAGCGAACAAGGGCTTTAAAAAGGTATCGTCGTAGTGGAAGGAAAGGCGGGGTAGGGGGCGGCCTAGGAAAGGTTTGGAGGAGGGGGTAAAGGAGGTTTTGTGTGCGAGGGGTTTGGGCTTCCAGAGGCATTGGGTGAGGTGTTTTGGGGGGTAGGGGGGGGTGAAATGGAGAAAATGGTTTTTAATACTTGCGTGCTTTGGAGTGTGGCAAAGTAACATTTTTTGAAGGGGTTTAGGGAAACCGGAGGCCGGACTCGGTCCTGGAATGGGAAGTACACGGGGCCCGCACTTGAAGGGGGGGTTTAATGTTGCAGTTTAAAAACTGTAGTGTAAAGCACCCTTCTGCCAAGACAGTGATGGAGTGAATGATGGTGAAAGTTTTTCTTTTTCGGGCCACCCTGCCTTGGTGGGAATCGGCCAGTGTGTTAATAAAAAAAAAAAAGAAATGGGGCAAACTCTTCCGCACAGCCAATTACAGTTGGTGTCCCACAGAGAAGTGTCCTAGGCCCTCTTCTCTTTCTCATATACATAAATAACCTACCAAATGCATTGCAACTACTCAAACCCACACTATTTGCAGATGACACTACATACGTCTTCTCTCACCCGAGCCCAGTCACGCTAGCCAATAATGTAAATACTGAATTACAGAAAATATCTACCTGGATGAGTACTAACAAACTTACTCTAAACATTTTCAAAACCTACTTCATTCAGTTTGGTAACAGAGCTACAGACGTCCCTCTTAACATAATGATAAACGGATCACCTATCACAAAACTCACAGAGGGAAAATTCTTAGGAATCCACCTTGATAATAGACTCAAATTTCAAACACATATACAACAAATTTCCCCCCAAATTTCCAAGACCGTAGGCATACTATCGAAGATACGGTACTATGTTCCACAGTCAGCCCTCCTGGCCCTATATCACTCACTTATTTACCCCTATCTCACCAATGGAATTTGTGCATGGGGCTCAACAACAAAAAAACCATCTCAGACCATTAATTACCAACAAAAGGCTGCAGTCAGAATGATAAATTCCCACTACAGGCAGCACACTCCACCAATATTCAAAACTCTAAACCTACTCACCATACAAAACATCCATATTTATTATTGTGCCTACTACATTCATAGAACACTTAACTCTGATATAAACCCTCCCCTCAAACGTCTCCTTACCAACCTCAACAGAACACATGACCATAACATAAGGCACAGATCACTCTTTGATGTTCCTCGTGTCCATCTCACGCTATGCAAAAACTCAATGCACATAAAAGGCCCTAATATCTGGAATTCACTACCTGTGAATATAAAAGAAATACTGTTTGTTTATAAATTCAAGTCTCTTCTCAAAAATCACTTGCTCACCCACAACTAAATAAATACTGAATAACTATATCTCATAAATGTCTAACCTGTGACCCAATCAAACTTTGTTTTTTGTTTTTTTAATTACATTACCTAACATAAAACTCAATTCTATTGAATGCACAGCAACACAGTAAATGACCTTATGACCTGTCTTTGTAATACTCGTTTGTGCTAAATTGTTATCTGTTTACAATAATGTTTTTACCACCGAATATATCATTGCTTAGTTAATCTTAAGTTAATTTTAAGCCTGCCCATAATGTTCTGCATATAAGGGGCTTTGGCATGTTGCACTGTAATAACTGTATTCCTTTGTACTTCACTGTATTATGTTCAACTTAATAAATAAATAAATAAAAAAATACAGCATACTTGAACACGGTGGTAAGAAGACAGTATACATTAACACAGTGTTAAGAAGACAGTATACATTAACACAGTGTTAAGAAGACAGTATACATTAACTTAGTGTTAAGACAGCATACATTAACAGTGTTAAGAAGACAGTATACATTAACATGGTGTTAACAAGACAGCATACATTAACACAGTGTTAAGAAGACAGTATACATTAGCACAGTGTTAAGAAGACAGTATACATTAACACAGTGTTAAGAAGACAGTATACATCAGCACAGTGTTAAGAAGACAGTATACATTAACAGTGTTAAGAAGACAGTATACATTAGCACAGTGTTAAGAAGACAGTATACATTAGCACAGTGTTAAGAAGACAGTATACATTAACAGTGTTAAGAAGACAGTATACATTAGCACAGTGTTAAGAAGACAGTATACATTAACACAGTATTACAAAGACAGTATACATTAACACAGTGTTAAGAAGACAGTATACATTAACACAGTGTTAAGAAGACAGTATACATTAACACAGTGTTAAGAAGACAGTATACATTAACACAGTGTTAAGAAGACAGTATACATTAACACAGTGTTAAGAAGACAGTATACATTAACACAGTGTTAAGAAGACAGTATACATTAACACAGTGGTTAAGAAGACAGTATACATTAACACAGTGTTAAGAAGACAGTATACATTAACACAGTGTTAAGAAGACAGTATACATTAACAGTGTTAAGAAGACAGTATACATTAACATGGTGTTAACAAGACAGTATACATTAGCACAGTGTTAAGAAGACAGTATACATTAACACAGTGTTAAGAAGACAGTATACATTAACACAGTGTTAAGAAGACAGTATACATTAACACAGTGTTAAGAAGACAGTATACATTAACACAGTGTTAAGAAGACAGTATACATTAACAGTGTTAAGAAGACAGTATACATTAGCACAGTGTTAAGAAGACAGTATACATTAGCACAGTGTTAAGAAGACAGTATACATTAACAGTGTTAAGAAGACAGTATACATTAGCACAGTGTTAAGAAGACAGTATACATTAACACAGTATTACAAAGACAGTATACATTAACACAGTGTTAAGAAGACAGTATACATTAACACAGTGTTAAGACAGTATACATTACCTCAGTGTTAAGAAGACTGTATACATTAACACAGTGTTAAGAAGACAGTATACATTAACTCAGTGTTAAGAAGACAGTATACATTAACACAGTGTTAAGAAGCCAGGATACATTAACAGTGTTAAGAAGACAGTATACATTAACATTGTGTCAACAAGACAGTATACATTAGCACAGTGTTAAGAAGACAGTATACATTAACACAGTGTTAAGAAGACAGTATACATTAACACAGTGTTAAGAAGTCAGTATACATCAGCACAGTGTTAAGAAGACAGTATACATTAACAGTGTTAAGAAGACAGTATACATTAACACAGTGTTAAGAAGACAGTATACATTAACACAGTGTTAAGAAGACAGTATACATTAACACAGTGTTAAGAAGACAGCATACATTAACACAGTGTTAAGAAGACAGTATACATTAACACAGTGTTAAGAAGACAGTATACATTAACACAGTGTTAAGAAGACAGCATACATTAACACAGTGTTAAGAAGACAGTATACATTAACACAGTGTTAAGAAGACAGTATACATTAACACAGTGTTAAGAAGACAGTATACATTAACACAGTGTTAAGAAGACAATATACATTAACACAGTGTTAAGAAGACAGTATACATTAACAGTGTTAAGAAGACAGTATACATTAACACAGTGTTAAGAAGACAGTATACATTAGCACAGTGTTAAGAAGACAGTATACATTAACAGTGTTAAGAAGACAGTATACATTAACACAGTGTTTAAGAAGACAGTATTTCATTAACACAGTGTTAAGAAGACAGTATACATTAACACAGTGTTAAGAAGACAATATACATTAACACAGTGTTAAGAAGACAGTATACATTAACAGTGTTAAGAAGACAGTATACATTAACAGTGTTAAGAAGACAATATACATTAACACAGTGTTAAGAAGTCAGTATACATCAGCACAGTGTTAAGAAGACAGTATACATTAACACAGTGTTAAGAAGACAGTATACATTAACACAGTGTTTTAAAAAGACAGTATACATTAACACAGTGTTAAGAAGACAGTATACATTAACACAGTGTTAAGAAGACAGTATACATTAAAAACAGTGTTAAGAAGACAGTATACATTAACACAGTGTTAAGAAGACAGTATACATTAACACAGTGTTAAGAAGACAGTATACATTAACACAGTGTTAAGAAGACAGTATACATTAACACAGTGTTAAGAAGACAGTATACATTAACACAGTGTTAACAACTCAGGATAAACAATATACTTACCAAACGCTACATTTAAGAAGATCTTCCAGTTGATGAATGGCAGCGAGTGTATTATCCCAATGAAAAAGTGTTAGCACGTCCATTGTTTGCTGTTGTTGCTGCCACCACTGTTGTTGCTACTACTGTTGTTGCTGCTACTACTGTTGTTGCTGCTACTACTGTTGTTGCTGCTACTACCGTTGTTGCTGCTACTACTGTTGTTGCTGCTACTACTGTTGCTGCTGCTACTGCTGCCACTACTGTTGCTGCCACTACTTGTGTTGCTACTACTGATATTGTTGCCGTTCTCGACGATACTTGTAACTTAGATGTTTCCCGCTGCTTCGTCTTGTCCTTGTTGTTGGTGTTATTCAGGGCCACAAAAACTCTCGCTTTATTGAACTCCTCCTCCAGAGAGTCAGACGAAAAAACATATTTGCCCAAATCTGAGCGGGAATGAAGGAGAAAAAAACAAAGTTTACTCCGGGAAGAGAAACAGGAACATTAATGCAGACGCCAGGACTAAACAGCAGCAAAAACAGGAGTCTTACTCCGTGAGCAGGACACTCTTTCTTTGTTGGGTTCATCAGGCCCACCGACAGCATAAGCCGTATCGAGTCCAGTCCCTGGACCAATTATGTACCTCTGTAATCTTTTGACTACCGCCCACAGGATGGGTATGGGGTGCATAATAAACATATTAAACTAACTTCTCGATGGTGCGAGGAGGATTTGTTGCCCAGGGCTGGGCGATGAGAGAATAGGAACAAAAGTTCCTTTGTAAACAGTGATAGAAACTTGAAGTTTCTCTAATTAGATCCGGTGGACCCCCTTGCAATGCGGGACGCCCACGCCCCCACCTTAGTTCAGTAACCGGCTTCCCACCAAGACCGATAAAGAATTTTCCGGTGAGTGGAAAAAAATAGAGCTGACTAAATGTAAGCCGATGAACAGGTGCCCCTCCTGAAGAGTGCCCGGCGGGCAAAATAGATGAGGACAGGCGTCCCAAAGAGAACGGGGGAAATTTGTCACTGATACTCAGGCGAGAGAGAGACGTCCACAAGCTATTTACAGGTTAAGGATTCCTAACTTTATTGACAAGCTAAGAGCTGTTACCTACATCAGTTCATTTGAAAGAATTTTTATTGTTATGAGACATAAAAGTAGGGAACAGGATGAAGTTGGAGCCATCTGTGGGCCAGCATTTTCATTTGATCAACTGACTTTATCTAGTTGACATCATAATGCTGTGCAAATGTGTTCCATACCCGAGTCATCCTGGGGATAAATGATCTCAGATGAAGTGATGTTCTGGAGAAGGGTACAGCCAGAGTGAAGTTGCTGCTTTCTGCCCGTCTTGTGGCATAAAAGTATGTTTCACGCAGTCCTCGAAGTGGATCCAAGTGTGGTACTTTGGCAATATTTTCCTTGTACATAACAGTAAGGCCACCCACATCCCTCCTGTGTTGAAGGCTCTGCTGAAATTATAGATCTATCCAGGATTGGTCCAGGCGAGAGATGAGACGTCTTGCTCTGTTCTCTGCTCTGTCAAGCAGTCGCAGATGAGAGGGGGGGGGGGGGACAGGCGAACCAAGAAAGTGGAGCATACTCAAGGTGTGAGCGTACTTGTGCCTCGTACAAAATCTTGCAACCCCTACTGTCAAGCAGATGCGAGATACGGCGACGTGCTGTAAGCTTCTCTCTCTCTCTCTCTCTCTCTCTCTCTCTCTCTCTCTCTCTCTCTCTCTCTCTCTCTCTCTCCTTCTCTCTCTCTCTCTCTCTCTCTCTCTTCCTCTCTCTCTCTCTCTCTCTCTCTCTCTCTCTCTCGCTCTCTCTTTACACAGGGTTTGACAAGGTTAAGGATCCCTAGCTTTATTGACAAGCTATTTACAGGTTAAGGATTCCTAACTTTATTGGCAAGCTAAGAGCTGTTACCTACATCAGCTCATTTGAAAGCATTTTTTTTTTTATTATTTTGCTTACCTTAATTTGTGTATTTTAAACCTGTCAATTTAATCTAATTATACTC